ATGGATAAAGAAGATATGGTATATATACATATAGTGGAATATCACTCAGCCACAAAAACGAAAATTTGCCTTTTGCAGCAATATGGATAAACTTGGAGGGTGTTATGCTAAGTGAATTAAGTCAGACAGAGAAAGAAAAATACTGTATGATATTACATATATGTGGAATCTGAAAAATACAACAAACTAAGGAATATAACAAAACAAGCAGACTGACAGATATCGAGAACAAACTAGTGGTAATCACTAGGGAGGAGGAAGGGGGAGGGGGTTGGAGATACACACTATGAGGTATCAACTAAGCTACAAAGATACATTGTACAACACAGAGAATATATCCAATGTTTTATAATAGCTAGAAATAGAGTATGGTTAACTCTTAGATGAGATTTTCAAAGATAATCTTTCACATGACTTACAAAGGCAAATCTCTTTTCCCAGGCCAGAGCATGTGGCATGGGTCAAATTAGGAGATGCAGAAAGAAGCAGTTTTAAAGCAGTTGTAAGAAGTGAAAAACCTAACTGCCTGAAACTGAAGTGAGAAAATAAATATCTGTTTAAACATGGAAAAAAAGCTGTGAATAACTATACTGTATACCTGTAACTTATATAATATTGCACAGCAAAGATCACCAATTAAAAAAATAAACTCACCCACCAAAGACATGAGCTTTTGTCTAAAGCCCACTCATACTATATGAAGACTATCAGAGCAAGACAACCAGGCTTAACATTTCTGACACTTAAATACCCGTAGAATGTCCTAATTTTGTTTCCTGGTAAAACCTCCAAAGTTTTTCAAATGCAAATTGCACTCCAATGTACCTGATGCGCAGCATCCAATCATTCATTACTTTGAGCCAGTGCTGCAGAGCACCTTTCGATGGTGTTGAGCTTGAGTTCGACTTTAAAGCCAATCCAGCAATCGTGTGATAGCAGAATCTACAGTCTATCGAGGGCACTTTTATGTGTCAACAAAACTGTATCATCAATTTAGAGAAGACAGCTTCTATCTGCTTTCCCCAGAGCAGGGGGCATGCTTCTTGGACACTGAAAAGTGGGATCAGATCATTCAGACACAGTGAAGAGGAGGAGGGGACTCAAAATACCCTGCTGTTTAATGAGAAAGGTTCTCTCTTAGGAGCCTGTCCTACAAGACTCTGTGAGCTTCTAACAGGCATTAAGATACAGGGTCTATAAGATAGCTGGTAATTGGTTCCATACTGAGTTCAGAGATCTCAGTCCATTGGTAATTCCCCAGAAATATAGGATAATAGTCATGAAACCAGCAAATATCATGCATTGTTCTTGATAGATTTTTGACCCAAAGTGATAGAGAATGTATCAATGCCCTACAATGGACCATTCTATCTAAACGCCACCTACAGACACTGAGCACACTACAGTGAGAAAGCTGGTTTGGTAATTTCTGTCAAGAAAACTGACATAGACATTAATTGTGCAATATGAACTCACAAATTAAATGGTCAGTATAAAACTCCGTGTAATTTAATTTATACATTCAACAGCAAAATTAAAAGAAAAGTGAAACTGAACAGAAACAATTACCTGCTCAGCCAATAATGAAGCTAAACTTGAATATGCATCTGCAAACTCGGGACCATATTTAATGGAATCCTTCAGTAAGGTGATCGCCTCTTCCCTTTTCTCCTGAGACCTGTAGATGATAAGAAGGGGAAAAAAAGAACATCTTTTAATAAAACTTGATTTAAACCCTCTGATGAGACTTTAAAATCTCATTTCTTTCAGCAAAGATTAACTGATTCACTCTGGATTTTACTGCAAATGAATTAAGCTCGACTTTCTCAAGGTGCTAACAAGTTTGTGTCTCTGAATTCTCCCTGGAAACAGACATTAAGCTGGAAATGATACTGATTTTCCTACCTTCCATTTCCTGCTGTGCACTTTTTGAGAATTTCATTTGAAAGCTTACAACCTTTGTTACCAGAAGGTTTGACCTTCAGCGGGAGCAGTTTTGGGTGCATGACCTGGGTGGCAGAGGATGGTTTCAGCTCCCAGAGAACCTGGGGGTTGGGCTCCTAGCGAGGGCTGAGCCACCTACCAGAGACAAGCCAGCCCAAACTGCCCACGCCAATCTTTGTTTTCATACCTAAGAGAGAGACACCTTTTATACATAATTTGTGAAATTAGAAGGTACTGTGACTGTTGGCTGGCCAAGAACGGTCCGCTATTTTATTGTCATGTTTCTACTGAAAATCGGGGCTGGTGGTCTTCATGTTAGTCTTCTCCCAGCGGTTACAGCTTTGATTCAAAGAGGACTCAAGACCCAAAAGTTATCACCATTATTCTGGGTGGAAGTTCTCTTTCTGTAAGCCCCTTGGGGAAACACTGAGTCATTAACCTGATGTCAATATCTCTGAAGCCAAAAATACACATTGCCGTGATCAGCTTTGCCACCAATACAATTTCACAAACACTGACCACCTGCTAAATGCTAGACATTGTAATTGGCGAAAGAAGTGGAATGAAGAGCAGAACCCCTGGAATTACAGAGGGCACTCAGCCTAAGGGTCCCCAACTTTACCGGCTGCCCCTACTGAATTGTGTGCCCATGTTTTCACTATGCAGGGTCAACAGTAACACTTTAAAAAGATTCTCAGGTAGCTTGTACACACACTGAGGTTCCAGCAGCGCTGCTCCATGACTTATCAAAGGCAGCCAAGAGTAGCTCCGGCTACAAAACCCCTACGTAGGGCTTCAGTCTCTGTAGGATGAAGATTTATGGGGGAAAATGAATAACTGACCCCACAAGTCTGACTTCCAAGAGCTAGAAGCAGCATGTTGCAAGGCAGTGTTACCCAGGAGACAGTCTCAGACCTTGGGGAAAAGATCATGTTTGCAGCATAGACATTGCATTTACTACTATTCAACTTAGCAAACATGCAAACATCATTGTGTATTGTGTGTTAGCTATTTCCCAAGGGAGGCGGCTGTCCGGGCTATCCTCTCCTTATTGGGGTCTAGCGAACTCCTACTTGGGTCCTCCTATGGTGCCCAGTCCCACCCTGGATATCAAGGTGTGACACCCGTGTCCCTAAGTGGACACTCTTTGGGATGTGGCTTCAAAGTTGTATGGTTATAAGAAATTTGCATCACAGAAATTTGCTGCTTTCTTGTTGACTCATTCATTTAGTTGACAAACATTTAAAGAGCTTCTGTAAGACTCTATGGGGGTCCACTATGTTTACAAACTCTTGGGTTTCTATTCTAAAATATACATCTAAGTAATTCTTCCATGGGCACATGTTTTTAAATGAAAACATTTTTTAACCCTGGGAATTTGACTATTGATTTCATGAACTCAGAACTCTTTCTCCAAGGATTCTGTAACATTAATTTGGAAACTTTCCCAAAATCCAAAGGAAGATGTGGATTTAGGAAATAAAGGCAGAAAATTAAGTCCCTCGGGACATAATTTAGCTTGGCTATGCTTCAAAAATCAGCAGAGAAAAAGCCACAACAATTTGATGGTTAAAGATTTAACGATTTTCATTTGTTATGACTCACATCAGTCAGAACGACAACTTAACCTTTCGTATATGAACTCGGTGAGATTAATCACCACTTCAGCCTATGAATCTAAGTATTGGAGGTTGTCCATTAATATTCACGTGACACAATGGAAAAGCTAGCATCAAAGTTATTCGCTGGGAACTCGAATCCTTTATGAAAGCACGTTCCTCTACCGCGCCTCTACTGACCGATACACTTTCAGAAAGACATCCCATCATGTAATTTCATGTGGTGTGTAAGTATTACAAGATGCAAAGACTGAGGCAGGTGGGAATTCCTTCTTGGTTCTGTACTCCTGGGTGACTCTGCTTTTCCCTGGGAGCCTTTGGAAGTCATTAGACACCAGCAGGGGTCAGACACATGCCACCTTAACAGAGATTTTAAATTGTTTTTTCTTTAAGAAAGCCCAAAAAATGGCCACGTGGTAATTTTGTTGTTGTTGTTTATGGTTCTGAAAGGGAGATGAACAGTAGGGAAGATATATTTCCTCTGTCATTCCTCTTTTGCTCACCCTTTGGTAGGAGTTAATGAAATGTGTGGTTTTGACATAATAACTTATAGCAAATAACTACCTGAATGGAACCTTCCGTGGTCATTTAGTAACACAATGCCCACGTGAGAACTGAGGTTCATTTCAGCCTGTTTCTGAATTCAGTAGCATGCTTTTCGTATCTACATCGTGGCCCAAGTTTCTTCGCTAATTATCCCGTATTAAAAAGCAGGGGCAATATGCCTACCATTCTATTGGATTACCACACCTGGATCGCATCTGACTCAGCTTTGCTTGATAAGACCTTAGTTCAACCCTGTTTCTAGCTCCCTCTTTCTTCTCCTTCTACTATACATAGACAAGTAAAAGACATCCTTTCCAGAGCATTGCTTTCAACACACTTTCTTATATAAAAATCGTCATGACTGCCCTATTGCCTACAGATAGACTCGTAGTTTAAAACCCTTTATAATATGGTTCTGACCAATGTTCCAAACATACCCAGGTCCCCACTAGTCCAGCCAGACTGAGTGGCCTTTGGCATCTATTCTATGGAACCTAAGAGATCAGCCACCTCACTGTCTCCCTACCCTCTCTGTGCGTTAAGATCACTTGGAGGTGCGTCTAAAAAGGCCTTAGAGTTCTGAAGTTGGGCTTCTTAACAAGGAAGCACTCCGCAGGAATACGCCCGCCATCCTGATGTGAGGATTAGGGATACAACCAACCTCCTTGGTTTATAGTAGTGGAAACTGAGACGCAGGGGCCTCAGAGATTTGCCCTGGTCCCATGCAAAGAGGAAGCCTGCCTTCCAGGTCCTGCGCCCCTCAGCCTGGCTTTCCCACCAGGACACTTCCCAGACGGCTCTTCCCTGCCTCTCCACTCGGCCTCTGGGAGGCCTTCCCTGACTCGCCCAGCTCAGCGCGGCCCCATTACCAGCACTCCTGAACACGTAACATAACCAGAAAGCGTAGAGATGCCACCTTTCCTAAGTTTGGGGGCTGCTTTTTGAGTCCCTGCTAAGAAGAAAGATGTAGGGGAATGGCTGTTAGAAGCCCTGTTCTGGCCTCCAAGGGGGCAGCTGCCCTGTGTTCCCCAGCTCCACAGTCTGAAGAGTAACTGGGCTGGACTGACTCTGTTTCCCCAGGGCCCTGGCCCAGCACCATAAGGAGCCCCACTTCTGCCTCCAGCGGAGGGTGCGAGTCTGCCTGCTGGTGACCACGCCACACAGGCAAGGTTTTAAAGCATCATATTTCACAGTGGCTGTCTGCTGACCACTTACTCTGTGCTAAAGACAGAGTCAGTGAATCCTTGGCATTATTTAATTCCCATTAAGCATTACGAATGACGCATAATTATCTACGTTTTAAAGATGGAGAAGACACTACTTGCAACCACCATCCCAGTAAAAAATCAAAAATGGAGATTTGGAGAGCTCATGTGATTTGCCTCCAGCACACAGCTGCCGTAACACTGGGATTCAAATTTGGAACTTCAAAGTTAGCGCGTTCCATCAATGGGCCACAGCTGGCGTTTCTGCACCTGCTCTGTGAAACGTTACTCACTCTGTCTGTGACCATTACTTGGTGGTAAGCTCCTTCATGGGCGGGGACCCACGTCTTATTAATCTTACTTCTTTTATCCTACAGACTAGCACAGTGATCTGCACAATAGAAGTTCAATAATTGCTAAGTTATTTTTAAAAACCATGGTTTTACTATTTTTCTTCATTCCTAGACCTTTGTCAATCTCCTTAAATAAGCTTTATAATCTCCTTAAATATGCTTTTTTTTAAAGAACAGAGGAGAATGATATAATTACCCATTTTTATCTTTTTCTACAGCTCTTTAAATATTACAGAAGTGATCCTAGGGAGAGAGAGGCAACCTCTCTAAGCCTTAGAGTCATAAGAAAGTTACAAGCGTAGGTCTCATTTATTGAACATTTCTTATTTACCAGGCATGGCTAAGCAGTTTCTTTACTTTTAACCCTGCACAGTAGCTAAAAGCATCCAGAATCCAGAGTGACTGGATCTGACTCTGCTGTTTGCTAGCTGTGTTCCTTGGGGACATTACCTGACCTCCCTGTGTCTCTGGCACACAGTAGGTATGTTTTGGTTCATTAGCTCATTTAAGGTTTCTAAAATCACCCATTAAAACCTACAGCCCCTCCCCTTTAAAAATTAATTTCTAAAATCACAGAGAATGTGGTGTTTTGGAAATTCCTTCCAAAGTAACGTACTTCCACATGTCAAACTATTCATGAGAAACTGATGTTAGACATTTCAGTGATTCCTCCTGTGTCTAGTCTGATACCATACTGGGCTTTTAGAGTAATAATCACCATTAAACACACAAATGAATAGCATTGCAGTACATGTAAAATAACAGGAACAGAGGCCAACCCCCTGGAAACCTGAGTCTAAGGCAAACGCCAGGCTGAGGGGGCCTAAATGCAGACAGACAGCTCAACATCCACTCAGCTGACGTCGGAGCCGCACACAGGAGAGGGTCTTCATTTTGTAGGAGTGATCGCTGAAGGTGAATATTTAAGCAAGAAAGAAATCGGGAGCAATTTTGAGCCTCTTTTATCAGCCAAGCCAGGAAAGCTTCTTAGAAAAGAAAGCTTTAAGCAGT